TTAGGATAGTAGCAAAAAAATTAGTGTGCATATTATAAACACTTAGAAATATCTACCCCAATATTTTGCTATTAAATGTGAAAATGAAATAACTAAAAACAGAACTTGTATGAAATCTTGCCCTGTTCATTTAGTTATTTTTCACTACTTTAGAAAATAATAGCTTTAAAACATATAATGAAGATGAATTATATCTTCAAGGTTTTAATTCAGTAAAGAAATACAACATTTTGACAAATAATTTTTCCTATTATATCAATAATTTTGATTCTGAGTTTTAATGAAAAGATTTGCATTGTGAACTCAGATTAAAGGAAATTCATAGGCCATAGGGATGAAATGTACTAACGTGGGGACTTGCCAGTTAAGAAATACATTTTCCGCTGGAATATCCTTGGGCAGAAGAGGCAGAGCCCAGAGGCTCCTACCCTGTGGTGTCCACGTGCGCACTCACCAGAAGGAAGTAGGTCAAACCCGAGAGGTTTTGGCAGCCAGCCTTCAATAAACCCTAGAAGGGAGTCAGACAGGAGTCAGAAAAAAGGCCTCTCTCAAAAGATTAAGAATTTTATCAGAGGAGGTATAATGCAATTTAGTTGCCTTAAAGCTAGAACTTTTAGTTCTGCATTTATTCTTATTTATTCCACTTCCCAGAATACGTTCCCTCTCTCCTTCATGTCCCCACACTCCACACAGTAACAAAAATAAACATTCTCTGGCTAAGGTTTGTCTTCCTTTGAGCCACAGTTTAGGTTAGATTTCCTCTTGAAAGCATGTACTTTGCTCACATTTGGCTACACATTTACTGGACCCCATAATTCCCCAATCGTTGTCCAGATCACTCTACATCCTAGGTGTCTGTTTACTGATCCATCCGTCTGCTGGACTCCAGATCTTGTTCACTGCAGTATCCTTAGCATACTTCTGACATAGAGCAGGTGCTCAATGAATATGTGTTGAATAAATGGATGAATATAAGTATGTATATATATGAAGTATGTTTTAAGTAGCTTTGTAGTGCAAAGAAATACTTGAAAAACAGCTCCTGAGAAATAAGCTCTCTGTGAAGCCTCTCTAAATAATATTCATGACACTCAGATATTCCATATATCCCTCAAATCCCATGAAACTTTTTGCCTTTACCCAGATTTTTGACCTCACACCTGGCTTGATGCTCTTTACCATGTGTGAGTTTCTACTCAACACAATCTTTGGAGAGGGAAACCAATGCTCTTACATGCCTCCATTGATTTATTAATTCATTCATTCAACAAGCAGATACTGAAAGTTTACTATATACAAATCACAACAAATACAGATTTAATCAAGATACATAATCACCAACTCTAAAAAAAAAAAAAAAAGTCCTGTTCAGATTTAGTGGTACAAAAGTGTTCACAACCCATATGTGAATATTGTTAGAAAACAGAAACTATATTACCCAGCATGCTTTCATTTCTTCCTTCATTTTCATACAGCATAGAGCCTAATTTATTATGCAAATGTAATATGCACAGCTCTGTAATATGATTTTATTCCCTTTAGAACAGATTTTTTAAAATCCATATTTATTTTATTTGGCCTGTGGGTTAACCTATAGACCACCTCAGCCCATTTAGAACTGAACAAGATTCAAATCTTAAAATAAAAACATTTTTATTAACCATAATTTAAATTATTAATACAATTTTTTCATGTGTTTAAGTACAAAGACTACCATTTAAAGAATGATTTTGTATATTTTGTAAAACCATTCTTTTGGCAATGAATGATTTTTGTGATGGAAGAATATTATATATTTCTCTTATAGTCAAATGCTAGAAAAAATTTCATCTCCCTTGATGATGCAGTAAATTATGATATTTGCATATCTTATATTATTGTTTGACGTTTTTACCTTTGCTGCCAGGAGGTATAAAGCTCAATTTCATGTCTAATTTTAGCCATTATTCTTAGTCTCTTTTTCCAGTATAATTATCTGCCCCATCTCTACATTTCATGTTTGTTCTTTTAATGAAGTGGCTTTTCTGTTACTGTGCTAGCTCCTATGAGAAAGCAAAGGTTATTATATTCCATGGAAATAATTGTTACCCTGTTGAGGCAAATAAGTTACATCCCTGCATGTGGCCATGCTTAAAGGATAATTTTCAAAATAGCAATCATGACTTATACAAGTATAATGTGAACACATATCAAAGATTTTGTGTAACTTGTGAAAGATTTTACAACTAGCTCAAAGGAACAGACACATATAAGTAGTCACTGAATGCTGAAATGAATGTAGTAATAGGTACAAAACTGGCCAATATCCACAGGGCAATAAAATGTCATGTTTGGAATCATCTCTTGAGGAGCAAGAAAGACATCAACTACATCTTCATAGGACATTCCTTTGCAACTTTAATGGGTGAGAATCATTTGATTACTATCAGTTTTCTGTAGCTTTCAGAGTTGTAAAATAATCCAGTCAAAGACAGAGAAAGGCGTAGACCCTTATAGAATCAGGTAACCAACCCTGTGGGGCCCTAGCACAATGCCAGCATTCCACTGAAAGAACACCTCACAATCTTTTCTGCTGATGACAGTCTTTTACAGTTTTTCCTGACGGCATGGTAGGAGGCTGAAACTGAGAAAGAGGATCTTCGGTAGATGAGAAAGGAGATATTCCACTATCGCTATCCCGAGTCTGGCCTTAAAGGAGTCCTCATGGCCAGAAGTCCATTCCTGGGGATGGGAAGGAAAGGTGGCTTTTGTCTTGAAGAAGCAGGATGGGAGCTAAGCAAGATTCCTTTCTTTGTTTGACATGCTAATGAGTGGGTCTCATCCTGCAAAGCAGATTATTTATTTCCATATTATTCACTTTCCTTATTTATTTATTTGTTTGCTTGTTTGTTTGTTTGTTTGTGTTAACCTTTAATAAAGGTTAGCACAGTCTTTATTAAGTGCCTTTCAGGCTGGTCTCAGATGCATAGAAAGGGACATGGAGAAGAAGCCCTGATCTTACTCTCAGTCCTGGAATGAAGTGGGAAGCAATGCCTCCAGAGGCCATTTGGTTGATTAATTGAGAGCCCTCCTAACCCTGGGGACCACAAGGCCATCTTTTCTTACCATATAGTTTCTTCAGTGCCTACCTTGGAGAAGCTATTTGTGAGATAGTATTTATTGAGACATTGTTGTTATATAAAGACATAGTCCATGCCCTCAAAGAGCTGAGACATGCATCAGTAAATAAGTATAGCTGAGTGTTATAACCACTAGAAAGTCTCTTGTCCATTTCTAACAGGGTTGTCTTTAGATTATTGAGTTATAGTAGTTCATCATATAGTTTAGATATTTGTCAGTTGTTCATTTTGGAATATTTTCTACTATTCTGTGGCTCATCTATTCATTTTCTAAATATTATCTTTTGATGAGTGAAAGATTTACTTTTGATTGAGTCTAAGTTATCAAAATTTTTGGTTATAGCTTTCTGTATCCTAAGAAATCTTAACATACTTTCAGGTTGAGAATATATTCTTCTGTTTTCTTCTATAAGCTTTGTATCTTTATTTTATATATTTAGGACTATGGTCCATCCACCTCAAATTGATTTTTATTTATGTTGTAAAGTTGGAGTTGAGGTTCATTTTTTCCCATATGGATTTGTTGAAAATACATTTTTGCCCTTTGAGTTGTTTGGCCAAATGTAGGGTTATTCCTGAATTCTCTTCTATTTCTTTGATCTACTTGTATATCCTTATATCAATGTTGCACTGTCTTGATTGCTGTAGTAAGTCTTGAGATGGGTAGTATAAGTATACCTTTATTATTTTTCAAGATTCTTTTGGCTATTCTAAGTCCTCTGTATTTCTACATAACTTTAAAAATCACCTGGTTCATTTTTATTAAGCCTGCTAGGACTATGAATTGTAAATTACTTTGGAAGAGAATTAAGTTCTTAACAATATTGAACCCATGAATATGGTGTGTGTGTGTGTGTGTGTGTGTGTGTGTGTATGTGTGTGTGTATATATGTGTATATGTGTATATATGCGTGTATATATCTGTGTGTGTGTGTGTGTGTGTGTGTGTGTATCCCCATTTATTAAGACCTTTTAAATTTTTCTTGGCAATGTTTTAGTTTTTAATGTGGAGAATTTGCATGTCTTTTGTTAAATGTGTTATTAAATATTTTGTTATTTGGTGCTATTTTATATAGATTTTAAAATTTATTTTTATCTTTTTTTTTCTGCTAGTATATAGAAATACAATTGATTTTATATATTGCTCTTACATCCTAAGACATTATTACATTCACCAAGTTTTTAACACACAGTTCCTGAGCACCGTGGACTGTCTTCCCTTCATGTTTTAATATGGTTTTTTAAATTTGAATGTTTTTGTCGCTCAATTTTGCCCCAAAAGAGAGCCAGTGTGAATGCCCAGGCATTTGTGAAGTCTTTTGACTTCACAGTCAGATTTAAATAGTTCCTCCTAGGAAAGTCTCTATTAGAACATTTATCACTTTCAGTCTTGAACGAGCTATTCTTTGAAGTCCAGAGCTGTGCTTTATCTCCATTCCATTCCCACAATACCTAGCACAGTGCCTTTGTTCACAGTTGAGGAGTACATCTTTCCAACATTTATCTCAGGAGGTATGGGGAATTACGTAGCTCCGGGGTGTGGGAGGGGAAAATCCTGACGGGCAACTTTAGTCCATTGGAAACAATCCCTGAGTACGTCTTAGAAAGGTAAAACAGACCTTTGATAAAAAACATACCGCCGAAGCCGGTTTGGCTCAGTGGTAGAGCGTCGGTCGTTTCTAGCTCTCTATCTCTCTCTCTTCCTCTCTGTTAAAAATCAATAAACATATATAAAAAAAACACAACATATCGTGTATTCTTGCTATTTAAAGATATGTTTACTAGTGGATGATCTGCTACTCTCTAAACAACTTAGGCTTTTGCTATCAGTTTTGAATTTCTATAAATTATGTTTCCTCTTACTTTCTCCTTGTTTTCTAGGTGGCTGACTGTGCTTGGGATGAAACGATAAAGATATACGATCCAGTTTGTCTTACTGTGCCTGCTTGAGATGCACTACTCTGATCAGAAACAAAGAACATTGGCTGAAGAACTACTTACCAGGAAATAAATTAACTATTGATAACATAGTCATTATGCTTTTATATGCTATTCGGATTTCAAATGTTAAAAACATACCCTGAATCAGTTTAGCGGCAGCTGATACAGACTTGGGCTCACCCTTTCAGCCTGACACATTAGCCATATTTCCTAAAATTCTAAGGAATGATTGATGTTATGGTATTTCTTACAGTATGTTAAAATGTAAACTCGGTGTTATAAAATGGGTGAAATTTGATTCATATAGGTTATATAGGTAGGGATATATTTTATTTTTAATTTGTCACTTTTGATGTGAAATATAATCACTGCTGTTGATAAAAAAATAAATTGCATCTCTTGATCACTTATTTTATGACATTCCCAACAAGATTGCCTTTTCTAATATAATGTATATATGAATACAATACTATATATAAGATAGCTATATCTTGCTTTAGTGGCAGGGCTCTAAAACGGATTTAATTTATTTAGCAGTTATTTATTGTGCATCTACTATGTGCTTGATACATAGACTGAATGGTTCTCTCAAGGATTGTTTCCATGATTTAAGAATATGGAATACTGTGAACTGAGCTTTTCTTTTCTTTTTTACAGTTCTGCAAATCTTTTTAGATAGCGTATCCATGGTCTTATATTTCACTTCTCTACTATCAAATGTTTAAAAAAGGAAAACAAAAACAAAAACTGGTTACTAGACAAAATGTCTTAGATCCTACTATGGTTTCAAGCAATTACCCTGGAAACAAACCCTAAATAATGCTATAAACCTTCCTCACTACCTCCCTACATGTCCTTGAAAAATCTCTAGGTGTTGATGATCTGTAAAAAAAATAGGTCAAAAGAGAAAAAGTAGTAAAACAAACAACTTTGTATAACATTTATATTTTTATATAACATTTAAAAAACGTATCATAAATGGCAAAAATTGTCATTAAATTTTTAACAAGCTTTTGAGGATTTTTAAAGAGCAAAATACAGTTGTAGTAATCAGAACCAAAATAAATTAAAATATATGTATATTATCTAATTTACATATCTTTCTTTACTTATTCCAGAAAAAAGTTAAGATCGCTTACAAAGTAAAGGAAAAAATGAGATCACATAGAAAGGAGACAAAGTAGAGCCAGGTGTAGGGCTTGACAATATATGTCTCAGAGTCCTAGAATGTTGCAACTGGCAGCATCAATGGGAAGCCTGGTCAAGTACACAGTTCGATACCCAAGGCCTGAGGGCAAGAACTTTGTCCTAGTCCTGGGCTTGGCCTAGCATCATGCCTAGCACATAGACGGTGCTCAATATCCGCTAAATGAATGAAAGGACTCAGGGAAAGTACAGCTCTTTTTAGTGCTTAGACAAATCAATACTAATTGTTTTCGAGAAGCCCCATAAAGAGGACACTGCTTAACATGAATATATGGTAAGGAACAAGACACTCAAACAGCCCTAGAGCTGTCACGGCGATGAGATTCATAGAGCTGTTTCTTGTTGCTTCCCTCTACAGGAACTAATGGCATCACACCAAGTGCAGTTCAGTAAAAGCAGGTTCACTGTGGATGTTCTCTGTGTCAGCAGAATTTATAATAGACCTGTACAAATATCTATCCCGGATCATACTTCTAATTAATTGAAATTACTTAATTTCCTTTTACAAGAGACTTTTATTGAAATAATCTACCGTGTATCTTTTGAGACAAATATTTGTGATTTAGAAACTAACATCTTTCTAAATATTTATTTCCCCCCTCTATATTGGGGATGTTAGTGATGTTTAGAAGACTAACTTCATAATACTTAACTCAGGTTCTTGGAGACTCCATATAAACGAGTGTGAGTGAATATTTGCCCTGTGGGTCCCCTAGAGACGGGATTGGAAAAACTAGATTGGGGAACTAGAAGGAAAGGAGCTTAGATTCTCTCTGAAAAGAGAATGGGCAAGATTTTTGAATTCTTAGTAGTCCACAAGCCAAGCAGCCTCTGAATTTTAAGAAGACAAGAGTCATTCCCTCCAGGCAGGGAAATGCATTTGTTTTCTGGCTACTGAGCTCTAAGCTTTCACCCTGTCTGCCTCCCCCAGCTCCTCCTGCACCTGCAGTGACAGCACAGCACTCCAGAGTGAGTGCAGGGAAGGGGAATGGGTCCCTGAGCATTTCTGTGATCTGAGCACTACATGAGATGCTTTCTGTATGTTATCCCTTTTGGTCTTCATAACATCCTTGCAAAGGAAGCCCTGCCCGTTTTCCAGACAAGGAAATGATGGCTCTCGGGAGAATTAATACCCAGGAAGGATGGAGCTGGAATTTGAAAATTGCTATAACTGGACCCAAACCTATGGTTCTGCCACATGGCCTCCTTTCCCTCAGAACAGCAGAAGTCGGCCCACTGAGGAGCAGGAAAGATGTGGATGTCTGGTGACGAGATTCTGATCATTTCTGAGAGAACTGACAAAGTTGAGTTTCCAAGACTAAAGAGCTAAGAAGCTGACTCTGGGTCTGGAATGACTTTTCCAAGGTCTGTCACCTGCTTCGGCATTTTTAAACTGCATAACTTCGCTATGACTTGGCTCTTCCAAAAATGAACTCATTCATTTCTTACTTAATAGGCCTCTTTTTGAATGGAAATAATCTGTTTAAATGTTTTTTTACTTCCATCTATGACTGGGTACTTCCGAGTCTGTATCTCCTGCCTTCCCCACCTGGGCCTCCCACAACTTTTGCACTCATGTTCTTCCAACTAAACTCACCTTGCTCTGTAAACCAGCTTTTCCTGCACATGCCTTTTCTTCTGCCAATACTGTCCACCTGGGTGCTCAAGCTAAAGACCTAACTACCATCTTTGTTCCTTCCCTTTTTCCCACTTCTCCACTTGAAGACACATCAAATAGGTCACTAAGTTCTGTCCCTTTAACCCCCTAAATACTTCTCCATTCTGTCTCTTCCCCACCATTCAACCACCACTGCCCCAGCTCAGGCCACCATTAGTTCTTCTCTAGGCGACCGAGGCAGTTTCCTACGTGATGCATCTGTTTCTCGTTCTGTCCCCTCAGAGCCATCCTCTTCAACAGAGCTGCCAGAGACGGATCTAAAATGCAATTGCATTACCCCAATTTCAGTGCAAACCTGTTCTCTGCTTGCAGGATTGCCTACAAGAAAAAGTTCAAGCTCACTGAGCAGAGACAGCTAAGGTCCTTCAAGGCCAGCCCCTGCCCCTCTGCAGCATTGCTTCTCTCCACATTGTCACACACTTTGTGCTTCAGCAACTCCAGCATGCTCACACCTCCTCGTGTAAATAATGCAGGTTTTCATTTCTCTCTTTGCTCAAGGCAGTCCATGTGCTCGGATTGTCTTGTTCTTGGCTTGGCAAATTCTTACCCACTAGTTGAAAGTCATGTGAAATGACTAAAGAAAAAGATTGACAACATACAAAAATTAAAATATTCACATACACCATTAGCAAAGCTTAAAGACAGAAGACATATTTGGAAGGATGTATTTGCAGGGTATCTAATGGTTAGGTAGAATTGACAAAGAGCCCTAAGAAGTTTGTCCACTTTTATCAACAAACGATTCACAGATGTAGAAATGCAAATGTCTAATATACTTCAAAAAGATACTCAGACTTTTACTGCTGACAAAGAAATGCAAATTAAAATCCCATTTTATCAGTTTGGCAAATGTAAAATACTGACAATATTCAATAGTGGTTAAAGTAAAATCACTGTTATGTACTTGTTTGCAAGGCAATGTGACATAAAATTTAAAATTACCAGTTGACCCAACAGTTCCATTTTTAGGATTCCCTGCTTCTGCTGCCCTCCCTTCCTCCTCTCATTCCCCACTCTATCCCTACAAATAATTACAGAAGTACTTAAGTACAGATTTCCAAAGATATTCACTACATCTTTGATAAAACCTAGATACCTGTCTACAGAAGGAAGCTTATACTATAGAGCAGTCATTTAAAAGTATAAGGTAGAACTATGTGGCCTGACATGTGAAAATACATTCCTATTGATATGCATATAGTTATCTATTTCTGTGTAACAAATCATTTCAAAATTTAGCCCCTTAAACATTTATCTTACAGCTTCTATAGGTCAGGGATCCAGTAGTGGCTTAGCTGAGTCGTTCTGGCTAAGGTTTTCTCATGACATTGCAGATAAGCTGCCACCTGGGTCTACAGACATCTGAGTTCATCTGGGGCTAAAGAATCAGCTTTCAAAGTCACTCACGTGGTTGTCGTCAGGCCTCACATACTTACCCTGTGGGACCCTCCACTGGCTGAGTGTCCCTTTAACCTGGCATCTGGCTTCTCCCAGAATGAGTGATACAAGAAGAAGAAAAAAAGTCCAAAGTGGATGCCTCAGTTCTTTATAACCTATCTCAGGAGTGACAGCATCACTTCTGCTGTATTCTGTTGGTTACACAGACCAACCCTGGTACAAGGTGCAAGAGGTTAGCCAAGGATGTGAATAACAGGAAGCAGATCTTTGGGGATTATCTTGGAGGCTGGTTACCACACACTGCTTTTAAAAATAGCAAGTTATATGCAAATGTGTATTTTATTTTTTAAAGGGGATTTATGTATGTATAAGTATATATACAAGAAAAAATTGAGTGGCTCACACCAACCTCGTAACATTAGCCAGCTCTGTGTAGTGGGGTTGGTGCTGAGAAATAGTGAAAACAACATGTTCATTAAAAAAACACACACAAATAAAAACAGTGTGTTCTCTTATTTGTAAAGTTTGTTTTCCTTGATATACTATAAAGAGCATTTTGTTTTTGTTTTGTTAAAAAGAATGAAATAAGACGCTATTTCCTTCTGCAGGGAGCCTTACTGATAACCCTGAGAAGCTGGAGTGTATTGCCCTCCTCAGTGCTCTCAGGTTTCTGCCACAAGACCCACTATTGCAGGAGCCTCTTTGTGGTGCCTCATCTCCACCTTTGAATCTTACGGACTAGAATGAGTGCTCATCTTTGAATCCTCTGTATGTCTGTTGACTGAGTTTATGTAACGCCACCAATATTTATTGAGTAGCTCCAAAGATAATAGAGCTTGAAAGCTTTTTTTTTTTTTTTTTTTTTTTAACCTTCAGATCCCCATTCTTGTTCAATTATCTTGCTAACCACAGTATCCCTATTTCTCTCATTTTTTTTTCTTTGGGATCCTATCTAGTAACTGGTGTGGGAGATGGTGTTAATTTTTTAAAATGAGAGCCCTAATGGAAAAGAATTATATGCAATAGAGAAAATGTACTCTGTTTCATGCCAATGTAGGCTTCAAAAATTAAACTAAAAATTCTTGCCTAAATGAGAAGGGTAAGAGAGCTGAATCAGCCCCAAATCTT